GTTCAGTATGGCTCGTTATGTGGCAGCATCATTGTCCAGAAAGTGTTCAGTATGGCTCGCTGGCAGCAGTGTCCAGAGGGTCCTCCCAGTATGGCTCCCTGGCAGCTGTTCAGTATGCTCGCTGGCAGCAGTGTCCACGTGTTCAGTATGGCTCGCTTGTAGCAGTGTCCAGCAGTGTTCAGTATGGCTCGCTGGTAGCAGTGTCCAGCAATGCTCAGTATGCCTCACTGGCAGCAGTGTCCAGCAGTGTTGAGTATGGCTCGCTGGAGCATTTCCCGGGTTATGGGCTCGCTGGAAACAGTGTTCAAAATGGCTCGCTGGCAGCAGTGTCCAGCAGTGTTCAGTATGGCTCGCTGGCAGCAGTGTCCAGCAGTGTTCAATATGGCTCGCTGGCAGCAGTGTCCAGCAGTGTTGAGTATGGCTCGCTGGCAGCATGTTCAGTATGGCTCGTGCAGCAGTGTTTCAGTGTTGGTAGGCGCAGGTCAGCAGTGTTCAGTATGGCTCGCTGGCAGCAGTTTTCGTATGGCTCGCTGCAGCAGTGTTGTCATATGGCTCGCTGGCAGCAGTGTTCAGTAGTGGGCTCCTGCAGCATGCCCCCAGTATGGCCGGGCCCAGTGGCTCCGCAGTGTTCAGTATGGCTCGCTTGTAGCAGTGTCCAGCAGTGTTCAGTATGGCTCGCTGGTAGCAGTGTCCAGCAATGCTCAGTATGCCTCACTGGCAGCAGTGTCCAGCAGTGTTGAGTATGGCTCTCTGGCAGCAGTGTTCAGTATGGCTCGCTGGCAGCAGTGTTCAGTATGGCTCGCTGGCAGCAGTGTCCAGTAGTGTTCAATATGGCTCGCTGGCAGCAGTGTCCAGCAGTGTTCAGTATGGCTCGCTGGCATCAGTGTCCAGCAGTGTTCAGTGTGGCTCGCTTGCAGCAGTGTCCAGCAGTGTTCAGTATGCCTAACTGGCAGCAGTGTCCAGCAGTGTTGAGTATGGCTCGCTGGCAGCAGTGTTCAGTATGGCTCGCTGGCAGCAGTGTTCAGTATGTCTTGCTGGCAGCAGTGTTCAGTATGGCTCGCTGGCAGCAGTGTCCAGCAGTGTTAATATGGCTCGCTGGCAGCAATGTTCAGTATGGCTCGCTGGCAGCAGTGTCCAGCAGTGTTGAGTATGGCTCGCTGGTAGCAGTGTCCAGCATTGCTTAGTATGCCTCACTGGCAGCAGTGTCCAGCAGTGTTGAGTATGGCTCGCTGGCAGCAATGTTCAGTATGGCTCACTGGCAGCAGTGTTCAGTATGGCTCGCTGGCAGCAGTGTCCAGCAGTGTTGAGTATGGCCTGCTTGCAGCAGCGCTCATTATGGCTCGCTGGCAGGAGTGTCCAGCAGTGTTCAGTATGGCTCCCTGGCAGCAGTGTCCAGCAGTGTTCAGTATGGCTCGCTGGCAGCATTGTCCAGCAGTGTTCAGTATGGCTCGCAGGCAGCAGTGTCCAGCAATGTTCAGTATGGCTCGGTGGCAGCAGTTTTCAGTATGGCTCGCTTGCAGCAGTGTTCAGTATGGCTTGCTGGCAGCAGTGTTCATTATTGCTCCCTGGCAGCAGTGTTCAGTATTTCTCGCTGGCAGTAGTGTTCAGTATGGCTCGCTGGCAGCAGTGTTCAGTGTGGCTCGCTGGCAGCAGTGTTCAGTATGGCTCGCTGGCAGCAGTGTTCAGTATGGCTCGCCTGCAGCAGTGTTCAGTATGGCTCGCTGGCAGCAGTGTTCAGTATGGCTCGCTGGCAGCAGTGTCCAGCAGTGTTCAGTATGGCTCGCTGGCAGCAGTGTTCAGCAGTGTTCAGTATGGCTCGCTGGCAGCAGTGTCCAGCAGTGTTCAGTATGGCTTGCTGGTAGTAGTGTGCAGCAGTGTTCAGTATGGCTCGCTGGCAGCAATGCTCAGTATGCCTCACTGGCAGCAGTGTCCAGCAGTGTTGAGTATGGCTCGCTGGCAGCAGTGTTCAGCAGTGTTCAGTATGGCTCGCTAGCAGCAGTGTTCAGTATGGCTCGCTGGCAGCAGTGTTCAGTATGCCTCACTGGCAGCAGTGTCCAGCAGTGTTCAGTATTGCTCGCTGGCAGCAGTGTTCAGTATGGCTCGCTGGCAGCAGTGTTCAGTATGGCTCGCTGGCAGCAGTGTTCAGTATGGCTCGCTGGCAGAAAGTTGGTCCAGCAGTGTTCAGTATGGCTCGCTGGCAGCAGTGTCCAGCAGTGTTTAGTATGGCTCGCTGGCAGCAGTGTCCAACAGTGTTCAGTATGTCTCGCTGGCAGCAGTGCTCAGTATGGCTCGCTGGCAGCAGTATCCAGCAGTGTTCAGTATAGCTCGCTGGCAGCAGTGTCCAGCAGTGTTCAGTATGGCTCGCTGGCAGCAGTGCCAGCAGTGTTCAGTATGGCTCGCTGGCAGCAGTTTTCAGTATGGCTCGCTGGCAGCAGTGTCCAGCAGTGTTCAGTATGGCTCGCTGCCAGCAGTGTCCAACAGTGTGAGTTGGGTCGCGGCAGCGTGTTGGTATGGCTCGCTGCAGCAGTGTCCAGCAGTGTTCGTATGGCTCGTGGTATAGTGGCAGCAGTGCTCATGAAATGGTCGCTGGCAGCAATGTTCAGTATGGCTCGCGGGCAGCAGGTTCATAGGCTCGTGGTAGCAGTGTTCAGTATGGCTCGGTGGCAGCAGTGTTCAGTATGGATCGCTGGCAGCAGTGTTCTGTATGGCTCGCTGGCAGCAGTGTTCAGTATGGCTCCCTGGCAGCAGTGTTCAGTATGGCTCGCTGGCAGCAGTGTCCAGCAGTGTTCAGTATGGCTCGCTTGTAGCAGTGTCCAACAGTGTTCAGTATGGCTCGCTGGTAGCAGTGTCCAGCAATGCTCAGTATGCCTCACTGGCAGCAGTGTCCAGCAGTGTTGAGTATGGCTCGCTGGCAGCAGTGTCCAGCAGTGTTCAGTATGGCTCGCTGGCAACAGTGTTCAGTATGGCTCGCTGGCAGCAGTGTCCAGCAGTGTTCAGTATGGCTCGCTGGCAGCAGTGTCCAGCAGTGTTCAATATGGCTCGCTGGCAGCAGTGTCCAGCAGTGTTGAGTATGGCTCGCTGGCAGCAGTGTTCAGTATGGCTCGCTGGCAGCAGTGTCTAGCAGTGTTGAGTATGGCTTGCTGGCAGCAGTGTTCAGTATGGCTCGCTGGCAGCAGTGTTCAATGGCTCGCTGGCAGCAGTGTCCAGAAAGTGTTCAATTAATGGCTCGCGGGCAGCAGTGTCCAGCAGGTTTTTGGAGTATGGTCGTGGCAGCAGTGTTCAGTATGGCTCGCTGGCAGCAGTGTCCAGCAGTGTTCAGTATGGCTCGCTTGTAGCCGTGTCCAGCAGTGTTCAGTATGGCTCGCTGGTAGCAGTGTCCAGCAATGCTCAGTATGCCTCACTGGCAGCAGTGTCCAGCAGTGTTGAGTATGGCTCGCTGGCAGCAGTGTCCAGCAGTGTTCAGTATGGCTCGCTGGCAACAGTGTTCAGTATGGCTCGCTGGCAGCAGTGTCCAGCAGTGTTCAGTATGGCTCGCTGGCAGCAGTGTCCAGCAGTGTTCAATATGGCTCGCTGGCAGCAGTGTCCAGCAGTGTTGAGTATGGCTCGCTGGAAGCAGTGTTCAGTATGGCTCGCTGGCAGCAGTGTCCAGCAGTGTTGAGTATGGCTCGCTGGCAGCAGTGTTCAGTATGGCTCGCTGGCAGCAGTGTTCAGTATGGCTCGCTGGCAGCAGTGTCCAGCAGTGTTCAATATGGCTCGCTGGCAGCAGTATCCAGCAGTGTTGAGTATGGCTCGCTAGCACCCCATGTCCCCAGTGTTCAGTATGGCCCCGCCGGCGGCATGTCCCGCAGTGTTGAGTATGGCTCGCTGGCAGCAGTGTTCAGTATGGCTCGCTGGCAGCAGTGTCCAGCAGTGTTGAGTATTTCTCGCTGGCAGCAGTGTTCAGTATGGCTCGCTGGCAGCAGTGTCCAGCAGTGTTTGAGTAGGGGCTCGCTGGCAGCAGTGTCCAGCAGTGTTGAGTATGGCTCGCTGGCAGCAGTGTTCAGTATGGCTCGCTGGCAGCAGTGTTCAGTATGGCTCGCTGGCAGCAGTGTTCAGTATGGCTCGCTGGCAGCAGTGTTCAGTATGGCTCGCTGGCAGCAGTGTTCAGTATGGCTCGCTGGCAGCAGTGTCCAGCAGTGTTCAGTATGGCTCGCTGGCAGCAGTGTCCAGCAGTGTTCAGTATGGCTCGCTGGCAGCAGTGTCCAGCAGTGTTCAGTATGGCTCGCTGGCAGCAGTGCCCAGCAGTGCTCAGTATGCCTCACTGGCAGCAGTGTCCAGCAGTAGTTCATCATCTCATTGTAACTGAATCACTTGGGCAACATTTTGGAATCTTTATTCTGGTAACGTTTCAGCAGCCAGTGGCTTCTTCAGTCAGCAGAGAAGAATGGTGAAAGATGAAGAGTAGTTTCAGGTAATCAGTCCCTCGGCCTTGAAATGATGTGCTCAGTCTATTAGTCTTGTTAAAAGTATCCTTATGAAGACAGATAGACTGAGCACATCGGCTTTAGGCTAAGAGACTGATAACCTCAAACTCCTCCTAAGTCACTGACTGTCTAAACGTTTCTAGAATAAGGATTCCCAAACGTTGCCCAAGTGTCTCAACTATCAACTTGTCTCTTTTCTAACAATCAGAAATTTCTTCCCCTTGATGCCTATGTTTTGGTAGAATAGTACACCGTGAGGTTGTGTTCCACAGCAACTCTTCGTGTAAGAGCTAAACTAGGGGTCACACTCTAACTGAGATCATTCTTGGCGAGAGTTATCAGAGCTTATCTTCCCTCTACAACCATTCTTCGAGAGTGTTATCATGGTTTATCTTCCCCCCACAACTTTTCTTCGCGAGTGTTATCATGGTTTATCTTCCGTCCACAACCATTCTTCGTGAGTGTTATCATAGTTTATCTTCCCCCAACAACCATTCTTCGCGAGTATTATCATAGTTTATCTTCCTTCTATAACAGGAGAGGAATGTCACTCTGAGTGTGTGGGAGGATGTACCTGCTTACACAGTGCTACCTGCTGTGTCGCCTGTAGGCACTACCAGGACGGCAACACCTGCCTTCCAGCCTGCTCACCTACCTCACTTAACAGTGTTCACGTGAGACCCACTTGTAGTAGTGTTAACAGTAGTCAAGATAACACAGTTGTAGTAGTGTTAACAGTAGTCAAGATAACACAGTTGTAGTAGTGTTAACAATAGTCAAGATAACACAGTTGTAGTAGTGTTAACAGTAGTCAAGATAACACAGTTGTAGTAGTGTTAACAGTAGTCAAGATAACACAGTTGTAGTAGTGTTAACAGTAGTCAAGATAACACAGTTGTAGTAGTGTTAACAGTAGTCAAGATAACACAGTTGTAGTAGTGTTAACAGTAGTCAAGATAACACAGTTGTAGTAGTGTTAACAGTAGTCAAGATAACACAGTTGTAGTAGTGTTAACAGTAGTCAAGATAACACAGTTGTAGTAGTGTTAACAGTAGTCACGATAACACAGTTGTAGTAGTGTTAACAGTAGTCAAGATAACACAGTTGTAGTAGTGTTAACAGTAGTCACGATAACACAGTTGTTGTAGTGTTAACAGTAGTCAAGATAACACAGTTGTAGTAGTGTTAACAGTAGTCAAGATAACACAGTTGTAGTAGTGTTAACAGTAGTCAAGATAACACAGTTGTAGTAGTGTTAACAGTAGTCAAGATAACACAGTTGTAAGAGCTTTGACTGGTGAAGAGTATTTATATGAGGGTAAAGAGGTTTTTGTTGCATTTATGGGTTTGGAATATTCATATAATAGGGTGGATAAGAGGGCAATGTGGCAGATGTCGCAAATGTATAGAATAGGTGATAGGTTACTGAAAACAGTGAAGAGTTTTTACGAGGATAGTGAGGCTCAAGTTAGAGTATGTAGGAAAGAGGGAGATTATTTCACAGTAAAAGTAGTCCTTAGACAAGGATGTGTGATGTCACCGTGGTTGTTTAATATATTTATAGATGGTGTTGTAAGAGAAGTGAATGCGAGGGTCTTGACAAGAGGTGTGCGGTTAAAAGATAAAGAATCTAACACAAAGTGGGAGTTGTCATAGTTGCTTTTTGCTGATGACACTGTGCTTTTGGGAGATGAAGAGAAGTTTCAGAAGTCAGTGGATGAATTTGATAATGTATGTAAAAGAAGGAAATTAGAAGTGAATATTGGAAAAAATAAGGTGATGAGGATAACAAAAATTTAGGTAATGATAGACTTGATATCAAATTGTAGGGAGGACGTATGGAGGAGGTGAATGTATTCAGATATTTGGGAGTGGACGTGTCAGTAGATGGGTCTATGAATGTCGAGGTGAATCATAGAACTGATGAGGGAAAAAAGATGAATGATGCACTAAGGAGTCTGTGGAGACAAAGAACGTTATCCATGGAAGCGAAGATGGGAATGTATGGGAGTATAATTCTACAAATACTCTTGTATGATTGTGAAGCATTGGTGGTGAATGTTGCAACAAGGAAAAGGATGGAGGCAGTGGAGATGTTGTGTCTGAGGGCAATGCAGAGAATCCGTAGTTTGGTGACTAGGAGGAAGTGCAGGGTTACTAAAAGTATTATCCAGGCGGCTGTGGAGGAGTTGTTGAGGTGATTTGGACATTCAGAGAGGATGGAACAAAATAGAATTACTTGGAGAACATAAAAATCTGTAGTGGAAGGAAGGTGGGGTAGGGGTCTGCCTAGGATAGGCTGGAAGGAGGGGGTAAAGGAGGTTTCGTGTGTAAGAGACTTGAACTTTCAGCAAGCATGCATAAGCATGATAGATAGGAGGGAGTGAAGACAAATGTTTCTTTTATGATTTGACGTGCTGTTGGAGTGTGAGCAAAGTAACATTTATGAAGGGATTCAGGGAAGAGGATTAGCCGGACTTGAGCCCTGGAGGTGAGAAGTACAGTGTCTACCCAGTGAAGGAAGGGTGTTGATATATTGCAGTTTTTCTTAACTGTAGTGTAGTCCCCTCTGGCAAGACATTGATGGACTGAATGATGATAAAAGTGTTTCTTCTTTTTGCATCAACTTGCTTGGGCGAGAAACGGCCAGTGTGTTCAAAAAATGAAAATAACTATATATGAGTCATGTATCGTGTTGCATGTGTAAGTTAGAGATCACGTTTGATGTTTCCTGATCTCTGCCTTATATCACGTTCACACGAAACATAAAATCATTAAGTTCACGTTACATTAAAATTCAAAGTGAAATTATGAAGGCACTGGCTACTACATAAGTACATTTTGTTAAAATTTGTCTCAATATAAGATTATATGGGAATCTCTAGCCTGATAAAGTTGTATATTGATAAATATTGTAGCCATAAGAGCTTGTTCTGGCAGGTGTGTTTTATTTTTCAGCATCTGGGCTACCGTTGTGTGAGTGAGGAGTGGTGTAGGAGGAGTGGCTGGAGGGTTGACCAGGAGTACCTGGTTCATGACCAGGAGTACCTGGTTCATGACCAGGAGTACCTGGTTCATGACCAGGAGTACCTGGTTCATGACACCACCAAGTTCATCCTCACCTGTCAAGGTCAGTCACCACAATTAATATTCTTTGATAAATTAGACACATGTCAATTCCGTTTAAAATTTATAATAGATTTTTGTTTGTTTTTCCTAGTACCAAAATACAAATCATCAGTAATCAGGAAAAATATTGAAAAATTATTTCAGATAACTCTTTGGTATGTTTTGCTAAGATGTGACCTGGAGGCAGAACTCAGTGTGGTGGTGATGGTGACTTAATCTAAGACGTCAGACTCAACCTCACCTCCCTGGGATCACAACACTTTGTCTCTATTCTTAAGGAGCTGTATAATACCTAGTGACTTTTGTATTTAAAAATAATAATGATAATAATAAAAATATAATAATAATAATTTAAAAATAATAATAATAATTAATAATAATAATAATAATAATATATTAAAAATAATAATAATGTAATAATAATAATAATAATAATAATAATAATAATGATAATAATAATAATAATAAAAATAATAATATAAATAATGATAATAATATTAATAATAATAATAATAATGATAATAATAATAATGAATAATAATAATAATAATAATAATGATAATAATAATAATAATAATAATGATAATAATAATAATAATAATAATAATAATAATAATAATAATAATATATAATAATAATGATAATAATAATAATAATGATATAATAATAATGAATAAAATAATAATAATAATAATAATAATAATAATAATAATAATAATAATAAATATTTAAAAATGATAATAATAATAATTATATGATAATATAATAATAATAATGATAATAATATAATAATAATAATAATAATAATAAAAATAATAATAATAATAATAATAAATCATCACAGTTATTATTAATATATTTAGTTTTATTATTATCGTTGTTATTATTACAACTAATATTATTAATTTTATTATTATCACTGGGACTACTGTGACCACTGTGACTACTGTGACCACTGTGACTACTGTGAACCTGTGACTACTGTGACCACTGTGGACTACTGTGAACACTGTGACTACTGTGACCACTGTGACTACTGTGAACACTGTGACTACTGTGACCACTGTGACTACTGTGAACACTGTGATTACTATAAACACTGTGACCTTTGATTATTTTAACTATTGTAATTACTGTGACCATACTGACCAGTGACTACCGTGACCACTTTGACTACCGTGACCACTGTGACCACTGTGACTACTGTGACAACTGTAACTACTGTGACCACTGTGAGCATTGGGACCACCGTGACTACTGTGAATATTGTATCTACTCTGACCACTCTGACCAATGACTACCGTGACCACTGTGACTACCGTGACCACAGTGACAACTGTAACTACTGTTACCACTGTGAGCATTGGGACCACTGTCATTATTGTAATTACTGTGACAATCATGAATAATGTAACTACTGTGACAACTGTGAGTACTGTAACTACTTTGAACTGTGACTGCTGTAACTGTTGTGACCACTGTGAATAATGTGACCACAGTGATCACTTTGTCTACTATGACTACTGTGACCATTGTAATCACTGTGACCACTGTGACTACTGTGACCAATGTGACCAGTGTGACAACTGAAACTACTGTGACCACTGTGATATTGTAATTACTGTGACCACTGTGAGTGATGTAACTATTTTGAACTCTGTGACTGCTGTAACTATTGTGACCACTGTGAATATTGTGGCCACAGTGATCGCTATGTCTACTATAACTACTGTGACCAATGTGACTTCCGTAGCCACTGTGACCACTATGGGTAGTGTGACCACTGTGACTACCGTGACCACTGCGACTACCGTGACCACTGTGACTGTTACCCTGTGACTACTGTGACCACTGGGATTGTGGCCACTAACTACTGTGACCAATGTGACTTCGGTGGCCACTGTAACTACTGTGACCACTGTGACTGTGACTGTGTGACCACTGTGGCTACCGTGACCTCTGTGGCTGCCGTGACCACTGTGACTACCGTGACCACTGTGACTACCGTGACCAATGTGACAACTGAAACTACTGTGACCACTGTGACTACTATGACCACTGTTTCTGCTGTGACGACTGAGACTAATGATACTACAGTGATCAATGTGACTGCTGTGACCACAGTGACTACCATGACCACTGTGACTGCCGTGACCTCTGTAATTACAGAGATCACTGTGACATGACATCCCCCCTTCCTGCAGGCTACATAGTCTACAGTGGAAACGTTAAAATACTCTACATAACACAGGCCCCTGTATACTAGGGTTTACAAATAATCATGAGAGCACTTAAACACAGACAACTATTGTATACACTAAAAAATTACCAAAATTACCTACTCAAACTAACACCAACCCATGACTACTTCACCCAGTCGTGTTCCTGTTACAAAAAAACGCGATATCTAATAAGCATTGTGACCTCCAGTGAATACTAGAAAGGAATGCCCTTCTAGCATCCAGCCTGTTACAGGGTTTTTGTAACAAGTAGTCAGTATCCTGGTCCAATTATCCATTAGAATTTAGTAAGATTCAATAGTGCTTCAGGATTACAACTGGTAGGCTACTAACTAAAGTAATTAAAACTTAATAAGTTTATTAATAACAATAAAGTTGTCTAGGCACATAATATCAAAGTAAATTAAAGTAATCAATTGAATATAATATAGGATACAATACACAAATAACCCGCACATAAAAGACAGAAGCTTACGACGACGTTTCGGTCCGACTTGGACCATTGACAAAGTCACACAGTGTGACTTTGTCAATGGTCCAAGTCGGACCGAAACGTCGTCGTAAGCTTCTGTCTTTTATGTGCGGGTTATTTGTGTATCGTTCCAGTCACGGTATTGTGCCTTTTTGTTATTTATATATAGGATACAAGTTGGTACACTTCTCTGGTGTACAGTATTATTGTGCTGAAGGCACATATCACATCTTTATGGCTTTTAAGTACCGTCTGGTATAGTGTTAGCATTTAATAACATAATACAAATATATACAAGTAAGTTTGTGTGTATGTGTGTAAGTGCTCTAAGTAGTTCGCTATGTCTCACGACTCGACTAGACTTAACCAGTGACTGACTAAAAGTCCTCATATAAACCAGCTTCTTGACCAACCTGGCAATCAGAACAGCTTGCTTGAACAATAAAACGACTGTTAAGCTGAACAGCAATATAACAAGCAACATTGACACAGAATCAGGAACAAGGAGATAATATAACAACGCTAAGTAGGGACCATCAGCAGATCCTCCACAAAAGTCACAAAACTCATATACTACTGAATCTAAGTTCAGCATTAGAAAATCCCGGACTGTGACAGTACACAGATACCAGTACAAATTAGGTCAGAAGCTACAGCTCAGGACCTGAGTTTCTTAGAGTGTCTATGAGACACACAACCTCAGTACATCGTCGAAAATCACTAAATCTAGGCTATGTTCTGTGAACTGAGTTATACACAATCAACAAGAAAGCGACAGAGACGATCTTCCAACAAGGGGCCAGCAATGGAGAGCTGGAGAGGCACGACTTGTTGGAAGCTATGTCAAACAGACAAGAGCGAGTGCAGCCCAAGCAGACTCTCCTCCAGGTGAGGTGTGATCACCCACCCTGATCACGTGACTCCGTGGACTGCTGCTGCCCAGCAACACAGAAGCCGGCAGCGAAACAAGCGAAGTGAAAACTACAGTAGTTAGACAATGCTGTCAGCTACTTAACACTCGATCTATGAGCAATTAATAATATATAAATGTTACATCCTACCTAATAATATAACTAAGTCAAATAAATATAAAGCAATATATTTACTATTTAGACTAATATCGCAAATATAAGCAATATAAAATTATATGAACAGGTAATATACATTATATACATTGTGACCCATTCAGGGGTCGCAATAGTTCCTACACATACTGAACTAAACACACCTCTCATCTACTCCTCTCCTGGCCACTGCCTGACTGACAGCAATAAAATGCGTTCACTTTCAGGGAATAATACAAGTCCGCTCAAAGTCTACTACATGGAAAATGACTTAATATATGGAGCGTTATTTTATATAAATATTTTTTTACAGTACTCCATAATACGTAACGATGGTAACTACTGTGACCACTTTGAGTACTATAACTACTGTCTCCACTGTGACTACTGTAACCACTGTGACCACTGTCACTACTGTGCGCACGGTAACCACTGTCACCACTTTGACCATATGACAAATGCGACCATTATAACTATTGTGACCACTGTGAGTACTGTAACTGTGACCACTGAGGTTGTAGATAAATGGTTCAGAGAACCGACACATTGATAAATTAGACACATGTGCAACTCTTGGGTATCTCTATTGAGGATACGTTTCGTCAAACAGTGGCTTCATCAATCCATGCAAAGGAGAATGGTGAAGAACAGGAGGTGTTTGAGGTAATCAGTCCCTCAGCCTTGAGTCGATATGGTCAGTCCATCAATCTTGAAAAGAATACAACTTTTCTGCAGAGAAGTAGCTTATATACCGACTGCTGCACCTCTCCTGCCTACGGTATATAAGCTACCTCTGAGCTTGAGACGTGATAGCCCCTTCCCTGAGCTTGAGTCTTGGAAGTCCTACCTCTGAGCTTCAGTCATGGTAGCCCTGCCACTGAGCTTGAGTCGTGGTAGCCACACTTCTGAGTTTGAATCGAGGTACCCTACTTCTGAGCTTGAGTCGTGGCAGCTTCTTCTCTGAGTTTGAGTCGTAGTACCCCTACCACTGAGCTTGAGTCGTGATAGCTCCTCTTCTAAGCTTGAGTTATGTTAGCCCTACCTCCGAGTTTGAGTCGTGATAGGCACACCTGTGAGCTTGAGTCGAGGTAGCCCCACTAGTGAGCTGGAGTCGTGGTAGCCCTACCTCTGAGCTTGAGTCATGGTAGCCCTTCCTCTGAGCTTGATTCGTGATAGCCGCTTCTCTGAGCTTGAGTCGTGATAGCCAAACCTCTGAGCTTGAATCTTGGTAGCCATACATCTAAGCTTGAGTCGTAGTAGCCCATCTCTGAGCTTGAACCTTGGAAGCCAAACATCTAAGCTTGAGTCGTGGAAACCCCACCTCTGAGCTTCAGTCAATGAAGCCCCACCTATGAGCTTGAGTCGTGGTAACCCTTAAAATGGTATAAAATACCGACGATGTTGTAAGAACATACAACATAGGTATCTAATCTTTATTCTGAGCTTGAGTCAAAAGAGCTCCTCCTCTGAGCTTGAGTCGTGGTAGCCCCAACTCTACCCTTGAGTTGTGG